GGGCAGGAGAGAAGGAAAAAGCGTCTGACTCCTACCGAGAGCAGAACAAAAAAATAAATAAATTAAAAATAAGATGTTTATATACATCCTCTCAAACATTTACTGATAATTAACCTTTTAGCCGCTTGATTGTGGATTTGCAGTCTATAATATCAAATTAATTTTGTTTTTAAGGTTTATAGATTTGGCAGAAAGCCAGCAGTCGACCGTCTCTGCCTTGGGATTCCCCACAGTGAGGTAATGATTGAAGCAGACATATTTTGTTAAATCTGTTTTTTCGTGTTTATAAATATCACATGGATCATTTTATTACTATCCTCCAGTGTTTCGGTCTGCTCGGGGTGAACGGCGCAGGGAAGACCTCTACGTTTCGCATGCTGACTGGAGATACGCCCATCACACACGGGGAGGCCTTCCTGAACCATCACAGGTACAAAACTTACTCAAATGAACAAATTCTCCCAAAGATTTGTCCACTAAATCAGCTTTGTGTGCTTCTCAGCGTGCAGAGAGAGATGGAGCGAGTCCACCAGCTGATGGGTTACTGCCCGCAGTTTGATGCCATCAATGACCTGCTGACGGGCCTGGAGCACCTGGAGCTGTACGCCCGCCTGCGGGGGGTGCCAGAGGAGGCTGTCAGAAAGGTCACTAAACCTTAACAGTTCCTGAAAATGGAACGGAGGAACAGGAACATCAGAAGTGTCGCCTTTGTTTAGCTTTGTCGATCCATAACGGAGCTGTCAGTAATGAGGTTTCTGTGCTGCCCTGTAGGTGGCGCAGTGGGGCGTGAAGAAGCTGGGCCTGCTTCAGTACGCAAATCAAAAGGCTGGAGGCTACAGCGGAGGGAACAAGAGGAAACTCTCCACAGCGATCTCCCTCATCGGGTGCCCGCCTGTTATATTCCTGGTGAGGACTAAAAAGCTCCTACAAAGGATTCACTTTTAAACGTTAAACATCAGAATCGTGATTCTCATTTACAACGATTCAAAATTGGAAAAAAAAAAAACATATAAAAATGAAGCCGATCCAATGGCTTTCAGCCTCCATTTTGTAACTACGTTCTGGAATGTATGGCTGTGTCCAAAACG